ATGAAACACATGGCAATTATTATAAGCCCATAGTACACAAACTGCTTTCTTATCATCCAGGCAAATTATAAAACTCCTCCTCCATACTCTGCTGCCTCCTCAAGCACATCTGGCAGTCCACAGGCATTCAGATAGAGGGTAGACAGATCACTGTTTACTGTGGTTACTGTTGACAAGGAAGCAGTTTCCATCTCCTTTTGCATTTGGTCCATTCACATCAGTAAGTCAGCACAGCAGAGGTTGGTAAGCAGACAACAGCAGCAGGTGCTGAGGCCCTTGCACAAACACAAGAATCTAGACTTTGCCTCTCCTGTGGCAATCCACATGTAATATAATGCCAACCCAAAAACTGTCAATGCTCCAGCCCCATCCCCTCTCTTAGGGCTTGGAACAAGGACAATAAATACCTGAAACAAAACTTCCTACATAGTTTCATTAAAAATGGAATTAATTGTGCACAAAACCACTTCTCCATCAAATAATCAAACACGAGTTTTTCCCACAGGCCACATTTCTTCAAGAATTGGTCAAGAACGGGACCTTTCCATGCGGCAAGTCTTTTAGGAACTGACCACAACTCCTGCCAGGAGTCTGCCTACCGCCCGTACTTTCCACAGACTGAACCATCCTTCAGAACAAGTCCACTTGTTCCAGCAAAAGTTAATCCATGGACTGTACTATGGCTATTTGCTACACCAAGGACTGCCATGGGATTCAAGGGGAGAGCCTGTCTCACCATGCTCTGCACTATGGACTGAGGAGGAATCTTTGCTCTGGTGCCCAGAGTGCTTCTTCTCCTGCACTGACTTAGGTGTCAGCAGGACTGTTTCTCTCACAGGTTCTCAGCTTTGGCCAGTGGTGGGTTCCTTTTGGAACCACTTGGATCTAGTTTTGTCTGGCATGGGGCAGTTTCTGAATTTCTTCTCATAGAAGCCACCACTTCAGCCCCCCTGCTACCAAAACCTTTCTGTATAAACCAGATACAGTCAGTTTTTCAAATTATTTGCAGAAAAAAAATTTACTTTTGAAAATTCAAACCTAAAATGTCGATGATTTTAAAAATATCTTGCTAGCCAATGTTAACCTAAATGGGGTTACTCTTAAAAATACGTGTTGTTCATCAATCCCTCTTTAAGATCTATGGATTTTTTTTCCCCAACAACAAGATAACCTTATCATAGTAAAGTCAGAAAATTAAACCTAGAAAAAAAATTATTCCATGCACCTACAAGCTCCACAGTTCAGCATTCTGCACAAGTCCACTGCAAAACATATTCAATTAATATGGTATTTAATAACCAGATATTTACCATAATCATTAGAGACAATACAAAAATCTAGTTATTATTCCTGAAAATTAATTTATAAATTTGTTTAAAGGTAATAGTCACAGATGAAATAGAAAGTATTTTTCCATAAACAGCATGTTTTGGGTATTGAATTATATCATCAACAAGGGGTTTTTTTTCTTTATTTTATCCCTTCCTAGATGAACCAGTTAGATCCATTTAATATTTGTTGCCATGCTATTTGTCAAATAATATAGCTATTAATGTAAACTGTATTTTCCATTCCAAGAAGTACAATTGACAAAACTGCATAATAACAGTGTCTGATCTCAATTGTTTCATCAGTTCTGCTCATCTTGTACAACTGAAGTCAATCTTTCAAAAACTTCATATGGAAACATTTTAAACCAACATACTGTCAGCTAAGAATAATATTAAGGACTCACATTTTTTGTGAAACATAATTAATGTTAAATTTTATATTCAGAACTTCAATCTGCATAGTTTACTACTGTAAATTGCAGAGATTGCACGAATTCTATATTATGTGGAGGCATAGATATTAAAGAGAAAGATAATTGTCTTGAAAAACTTGAAATCATTTAGAAAAGGATTTAATTTTTGTATTTCAATACCATGTTTTTGATCTCATTAAATCTGTTATTAAACAAAAAAAAATGTTGCCATTGTTTGCTTATACCTTCTACAATTATGAATCAGCCATTTATCGGTTAATACCATTATATTGTTTTAAGCAACTACAATCAATCTCCCAGATAATCTCCCAAATACAGGTTTTGGAAAAGCTAGGAAATAAAGTAAATGTGTTTTGCTCTGGAATTCATTCCATAATACCTTATGCATATCCCTTTTGTCTACTTGTTAAACAAAGCCATAATCATACAGATCAGTATGGACAAAGACCTTTACACAGCTGTAATTTCAATCTTTGCTAACCTAAATACCTAACCAAAACCCGTATTACAGGAATAATCTTTTTCTACTCTTCTAACCCTATATATGGTGTGATATTTTACTTGGACTCAGGCGAGCATCCCAGAAATAAAAGGTTCCTGAATTAGAAGTTAAAACCATTATTTTCAAGTTATTTACAGTATTAGGGCAAATTGGAGAGAAACAGTTTCAGAATTTAGAAAGGTTCGGTGATGACATTAGGATGTGTCTACATAGGAATAGCCAGGTTCCATCTAAGATATAAATTAAGTTATGCTGAAATCTTTGAAAAAGAAACTCTCTCCTTCCTTGACTCCTGTTTTTAATTTAATGGCAGCTGCAACCTTAAAAAATATGTTAGCTTACTCTACAAGTCTTTTCCTTCTCCCCATATGGCTGGTCAAGTCCCCAGTGCCATGACTGATTTGGACATAAACTCAGTGTTAGAATAATTGCCTCGTAAGATTGTTTCTACCTTATTTTTCTGGTTGTGAAGAGTTCATTTTGTCATTAAGGGTTCACCTTTAAAGTCCTTTCCTCTAATATTGTTGACCTTTACTTTGCTCATGTTGTCAATGGGTGTTCAGTGTCACAGAAAACTGTTTTATGGTGATACTTTTTGGTTTCCCTGCAGACAGAAGCCAGGAGCCCTGGACACAGTGAGCAAGTATGCTTGGGATACTATGGCAGGCAAGATGTTCTGGCTGACAATGCTGCTGAAGACCGAAGGAGCACTCAGCCCTGGTGATGATGCATCCCAGGGCATGCTTCTCAGCCCAAAATGGAGAAACACAGCAGAAGTCCCATAAAGGTCTTGTTATCTCCCTCTGAGGCTGGGGCAGGCAGAGGCAATACCCTTGCCCATCAATGGGATCAAAAAGTTCTGTTGCCAATCTGAAAGAAGGGGCCAACAGGAACCTTGTGAAATTGAGAAATGACAAAGTCCTTCACCTGGGGTAGAAGAGTCCCTTGCAACAACAGAGGGATTATGGCTTTTCCAAAGTAACTGTTGCTTAGAGACTGGCTAGGCAATCAGCCTGCTGGTGGTATGTGATTGCATTTGCATCCCTTTTTTTTTTTTTCTTATATATATATATATTTATATTTATTTTCCTTACTCCCTCTCCCCAGTTATTAATCTGTCCTTATCTCAATCCAGAAATTTTTTTCTCAATTTTGCCCTTCCAAATGTGTCCCTTACCCCGCTGTTGCAGAGTGAATGAGGGTTGGGTGGATGCTTAGCTGCCAGCTGGGGTCAACCCATCATAAACATGATGCCCAGAGAGGTTGTGCAGTCCTGGAGGGTTCTGAGACCTCACTGGACAAAACCATGAACAACCCATTCTGACTTCTTGCTTTAAAGAGGAAGTAGCACTGAAGCTCTCCTGAGGTCCATTCCAGTCTGGCTTATTTTGTGATTCCATGTTTTGCAGTTCTTGTAAATCAAATATAGAGGTCTGATACTAACAGACAGAACTGATACCAGCAGAGTTGCTCACAGATGCCTAATATTCTATGCAATTAACTGTTTTTTAAACAAACAAGCAAATAAATAAACCGTGACAGACACATAAGATATTTGAAAAGCAGTAGCATGCCTTAGCAGGTGAGCATCTTTCTGGCCGTATCTCAAACCTCAAATAACTTGCATTACACAGAAATCAAGAAAACGTTGATGTGATTTGTTATGATGTTATCTGATATGTATGATATATTATGATAAAATAAATACTAGTAAAGAAAATTCCATACTTGGAGTTTGTTATGTAAGATGTTTTAGAAAGGTACGTTATATGCATGGACTTCAATTTGCTGTTCCTTACCCATCATAGAAATATAGAAAAATCATAAAATTACATTTAAAAGCAAACATCAAATACAGATCTTGGTCTTTACCAAGAGGAGTTATCTACTGTAACTAAACCCCAAATCTAGTTACTCAGAATGCAATTATTCAACAATAAATGCACATAAATTAGATTAAATTATTTATTATTTAGGTAAATTAAAAAAATATTACTGTTTCTCACCACCCAACTCGAAGGTATGCACACTTGCTGATTGATTGGTGTTTTGGGGTTTTTTTTGCTTTCCCTTACACAGCTTTTGGAGTGTTAATGAAAGTGGGAGCCCTCTGGATTACTTAGCTATTGGCATGGAAAACCATAAAATAAAGGAAATACGCTCAGCTAAGTCTCTGAATAATTTATCACATCATTTTTAGCAGTACAATAAGGTTTAAAAGAGAACAGATCTTTAGAGGAATATAGAAAAAAGAAGTAAGACACTTCTTTCTGTTCCCCCTCACCTAAGACGAGTTTCGGTGTTCAACAAGACAGAGAAATGTTTTGCCTCATAGCTTTTTCTGCTTTGACCTTCATCAGGACTCTGTAGCTACCATACTTTACCTAATCTTTTCTGTTCTTCCTAGTCTTCACTTTTGTTTCCTAGTCTTGTTAGACTTGTAATTTCTCCCTGCTCCTTTTAAAAAGGGAAAGATATTTCTTTCTGCTTCTGTACCCTGCAGAAATTCCAAGTCACCAAGTTCCAGTTTTCCAAGTCTGAGAATGGGCTGTTCTGTCTTTTTTAACATTATGAAAGAGTAATTTTGAGGGTGAGTGCTCCCCAGATAATCAAAGTAATACACATACCTTATTTTCAATCAACAGCTTATTTTGTGTATGTTTATGATCACAACTCAGTTTAGTTATTGCTGGTTTATTTTTTCATCTCCAGACATCCCTGTATTTATTTTACCTGCAGTTTCAGTTTTCTAGTCTGTTCTTCCAAACTCTGTTTTTCTGCTTCAAGTCGTTCTCTCTTTCCCCATTCAGAGGTATTCTCACACTGCATTCTTTCCAGCTGGGAATGGTTGGAGTAGGAGGAAGAATAACCAAAAGAGAAAAAAAAGAAAGAGGAATAATATAATTAAAAACTCCTGTTCTTCACTGGGTGAGGCTAATGGCTTCACCTCAAAGTAAGGTGGGTATCTTGGAGATCAGTCCAAGCTGTAAGTTTTCCATGTTTCATAAAGTTAAATATTTGAATTTGAAGAGAAATAACCAAGACAGTCAATTTTTCATCAACTGTACCTTTACAAAAGTAAAGCACAAATATTTTTTTAATATAGCAGCTGGAAACAAAATCTTATTCTTTTCCTGCTATTTATGGAAAAAAACCATTTTTTTAAAAAAGAATGAAATGTTTTAAATAATATTGAGACTCATATTGGCTTGACAATGTCAAAGTTCACTTTCTATTCTCTAAAAGATGAAAAATCAGCATGTTTTTACTCTGTTTACACTTTAGAAGGATGATAATGAATATTCATTAAACTGAAGAAGTTCTAAAGTATGTCTTCAGTACTGCGTACTGCTAACCTCATAATCAGAGAAAATAAGTTTTCTAATCTGGTTCTCTTGGTCACAGTTAATAGCTTAAGGGAAATAATATCTTTTATGGTCAATGCTGTGACCTTAATTTAGGAAACCTTTATGAATTCATTCATCAGATCCACATATAGGGAGAATTAAATATATCAACAAAAAGCCATGTTACTAAATCATATAAAGTAATTATTTAAGAACTGATTTATACTTCAGAGAGAACTACATTGAGGTTTTGTCAAGGCTGCATTAAATGTTCCTCAGATGTCAAAAGAAAAATGGTAAAATGAATTTATTTTATAGCACAAAACAGGTACTTATCAGGTGCTAATATATATTGAAGAGAAGATTATTATTGTTAAGTACTTACTATTAACAAGTCATTATTAACTGGTTCTTAAAATAGATTAAAAGAGATTAAGGTAGATTAAAAACTGTGAAAATAAAAGGTTCCAGTTCTTTCAGCTGAGATGAAAAAAGAACTGAAATGTTAATACATAAAACTCAAAATTTTAAGAATTTTTTACAATTTTTCAGTTCTGTGAGAGCTAAAATCAATTGTTTGATAAAAAATAGAGACTGATAACATTGTGAGGCACTTCCTCATTGAAGAAACAGAATATCTGTGCTTTAGAAAGGGCCACAGGGGTGTACTTTTTAAGATATTGGTTACTTTTATTCTAAAATCAATTACTGGCAAACAATGAAGAGCTACTGAATGTGAGGCAAAGAGAATGAGCTGTTACAGCATCAGAGAAACATAATTCAGACCCTGTGAATAGTAACAGTGATTATCTAGCTGAATCAAATTGCAAACTTGTCTGTTACCACTTTATTTCTGAGTAAATAAAAACAATTAGAAATTCTGTAAAGCTAAAGAGGTTCATTCAGGTTTTCAGAGGACAGTAGAAGGGATTACAGCCTGTGCTGGTGTAGCCTCACCTTGAGCACTGTGTGCAGTTTTGGGTACCACAACATAAGAAGGTCATTGGACTATTAGACTGGGTCCAGGGGAGGATGACCAAATGTGGAAAGTCTTGATGGCAACACTTATGAGGAGTGGCTGAGGATACTTGGTTTGTTCAGCTGGGAGAAAAGAAAGATGAGGGGGGACCTCATCATAGCCTACAACATCATTGAAGGGAGGTGCTGATCTTCTCTCTCTGGCGACCCATTATAAGAGCCAAAATGGCATGAAGTGACATCAGGGAAAGTTCAGGTTGGACGTTAGGAAAAGGTTCTTCACTGAGAGGGTGGTTGGTAACTGGAACAAGTTCCCCAGTGAAGTGGTCACAGCACCAAACCTGCCAGAGTTCAGGGAGTGTCTGGACAATGCTTTTAGCCATACAATTTACTTTGGGTAGTCCTTCAAGTAGCAGGGAATTGGACTCAATGATCTTTCTGGGTCTCTTCCAATTTGAGAGATTCTATGATTCTAGGTACAGAGGATGACTACCAACTACTTAATTCAGAAAACTAAATTGTGAAACAGTTAAAAAGTGAATGGATTATGTTTAAAGGCATTTTATTCTATCAGCAACAGATATATCCATAGGCTGTTCCTTCTCATCATCCTTAACAAACAGAAACAACAACACGTGTACAACTCTTCCCCCACACCGCAACACTATTCTGAAAAACTTGGCCAGTCTTAACATCATGATACACTGTTGGATGGTAGTATTTGGAGATCAATCTGAAGCAGTTCTTAAAACTAAAATGGGCTTTTGATTCGGGAAAATAGCAATATAGAAAGAAAATAATACATTGCTTTCATATTCTATATCATATTGGCTGAATAACTGGAAAGAAATTTAACTTTTTAAACAATTACAGTATTTGGTAGTTTTCTTTGCATTATGGACTTATTCTTGTATGAAAAGACTTAATGCAGCTACAAAACTACTAGTTTTGGGGGCTTGGTCCACCTGACTAAAATACAGCAGAGTGAGAGGTCTATGTATTTTAGATTCATGCTACCTCATAATTTTTATAGGTTACTTACCAAGTTAAATTACTTAGAATATGACAAGCATTTGTGCTTAGATTAAACTATGAGATTAACTTGGTTACAGCATGGTGCTAATAACACCAAGGTCATGAGTTTAATCCCTGTATGGGCCGTTCACTTAAGAGCTGGACTCAATGATCCTTGTGGGTCCCTTGCAACTCACAATATTCTGTGATACTGTGATTCTAAGCAAGAAATTAGGGAAGGATAATTTTGTACCATTGGTTTGGGGAAAGGTTTTTCTTTTGGCGTGGTCTAGCAGGCAGTGATAGACAACAAGATGTTAACTCCAGTGCAGACAACATAATTTGATGTTCACAAGTTCCCAATGAGGTCTTTAAACTTTGCTCACTGAATTTCTGTAGAATAGTTGGAAATGAAGGCGTTACAAACCTCTGTTTAGCACCAAATATTATTTTTTCCCTACCAAAATTATGCAAGTTTATAGTTGTTCAAATACTGTCTACTGGACTACAATCACAAACCCTATATTTGTTCCTATGTAAATATGTAGACATAATGTCTTACAAGTATCCATGAGAGCTCTGGGACATGAGAAACCCTGTGTTCTTGCAAAGCATCTGCCAAAATACAGAGCTGAAATTTTAGGCCTGAAAGATCACTTTTTCCCAGTGTTGACACTAATCAATACAAATTCATTTTTGGCAGACTTCAAATGGAGAGAAATCACGAAACTATCCAAGGTTGAATTTCCATCAGGCAATTAAGCAGAAGATGACTATCAAACCAAGATATGGTGTCAAAGATAAATTTACTTACCTCTATGTCTGTAAAATTTCAATTCACTGCACCCAAGGTGTTTATGAGTCCAATAATGATAAATTTACATATTTAATTGCCCTGATTTCTTCTGGGACAGAGTTCATTTTCTTCCTAGTAGCTGGTACAGTGCTGTGTTTTGAATTTATAATGAGAATAATATTGAAAATACAGGAATGTTTTAACTGTTGCTGAGCAGTGCTTACACTAAGTCATAGTCCTTTCAGGTTCTCATACTGCCCTGCCAGCAAGGAGGCTGAGACTGCACAAGAAGCTGGGAGGGGACAGCTGATCCAAACTAGCAAAAGGGATATACTATTCTATATGATGCCATGTTGAAAAAAAGAATACATGGGGGTGGTTGGCTGAGAGGGGCTGATTGCTTCTCGGAGTCTAGCTGGTCATCAGTCAGCAAGTGCTGAGAAGTTGCAATGTGTGTCGCTTCCTTTGTAAGTATCTTTTATCATTATTAATATTTTCTCTTCCTCTACAGTCACATTAAACTGTCTTTATCTCAACCCACAAATTTTACTTTGTTTTTCTCATTCTCTCCCTCATCACATTGGAGGGGAGTGAGTGAACACTTGTGTGGTGTTTAGCTCTCTGCCTGTGTATGTACCATATGCATAAAGAACTCCATAATAAAGTCAGAAAAATAAAATCTACTTTATTTCTCTGTCATTCATGTCATTCTTCCAAAATGAGTATGGAAATTAGAGCAGAGAGAAAAACAAGTCTGGAATTAAGTTGGGAAGAACAAGCAAAATTAGATAATTTGTGATCTCTTCAATGTAATTTTCTGTAAAAAATCTTGTAGGGCTATGGTCTTTAAGAACACACCCAAGTCTGTTCAACCCTCTTTGAGATGTTGTAAGATGGTTCTTTATATAATGGATGTTTTATCTTTCAGGAAAGATTAAGTGCAATGGCCAAAGGCAATGCGAGATGTTAACTAGATTTTTGAGAATATATTCTTCTCATTAAAACAAGGCAAAACAAAAGAAAAGAAGTAAAGGAAAAAAAAAAAAGCATCAGGAATCTGTTTATCTCCAGAAACACATTGTGAAATGTTCTTGTTTTTCAACTGAAAATGATTCTATGTTCCTGTGTTACTTTAAATGGAACCTGGCATTTTTAAATTTTTCTCACACTTCATTACATGAAAAACAAGAAAGAAACAAACAAAAACCCTTTAAATGAATCTATTGCTGCCTTAAATTGAACTCTGTCCTTTTACTTTTCACAGGGAAATACTTCACTCAAACAGTAATACCTACTTTTCAGTTTGGAACGTATTACTGAAATTTCAGTTTAAAAACGCAAATTGACTTAACAGCAGTGATACCTATTTCACATCTTCAGTGAAAAGAATTTCAGGTGTTTTTTTTTTTTTTTTCCCTAGAAGATATACATTGTTGTATTTGTACAGAGAATAAGTATTTTAGATGCTCTCGTGTGGAACTCCAGATTTTGATTTATAAAGGAAGCGAAAGATAAGAAACTATGTACAACATTTGAAAAAAATCTTGAGATCTTTAATTTTCCCTTCAAATGTGAATATTTTCACTCCATCAAATGTCTCCACAGACTTTTTACCTTTTCTTCACTGAATTTTACCTTTTAATAGGAAGACTGGAATAATGGTGGAAGCATAGAGTGAGGTTAAGATACTGTCAGTGAAGTGA